AAACGGTTCTCCTGATTCCTATTTTGATGTTTCCTTTATTGCATCAAATTGGCCCTATTAGTGTCTTCTTGGAATCTCCAGGAAATATTTTGGATAGATCACTGATACAACTGACTATGAAAAGCATCACATGGAACCACATTCACCCATTTGAAAAAGCATTGAATCACTGCTATGTTCAAGGTTCTAAATGTTCTATGTTCATTGGGTGTCTTAAGATCCAGCATCTTTCCCCTCAACCCATTATCCTTTTGGCCAACAGTTTCCCAGTCAGTTCTGAAATTCCAGCATCATCCTTTATTCCTTCATCATCTCATTCTTCTCTCTTTCCACTAGCCTTAGTCAGTAACTGTACAACTAGGCTGTGGTAACATCCTTTTAACTTGGGTCCCGGCCTCTAAGCTTGGCACTGGGTATTAGGAAGGTAATTTGGACTTAAAAATATAGGGTATAATTTTGGCTGAGGGTTTAAGACTATATCTGGAATAGGAATGATTTTTAAATGTTTTTGTTTGTTTATTTCTAAATAAAGAAATCAGTAAAAAGCACCTGGGTTCTATCACCTAGAAATAACCAATACCTACCACACTCAGCAGTCTGTGTGTATATTTACATATATTTCACATATAAAATTTAAAAAAATAAAATGATGTTATATGGATGATTTGAAGCCCTTTATATATACATCATGAGCAGTTTCATGAAAATAAAATATATTTACATTATTTTCATCAATGCATTATTATGTATATTATATATTATGGTATCACTATTCATTAAGTTATTTAATGAATCCTTCATTGATGTATCTTTGTATTGCTATTGAGTTTTTACCATTATAAACATTATTATAGATAATTGCATAATGCATAAATCTTTATACATTTCTTGGAGCATTTTCATCACATAAATTCTTGTAAAGGAAGTTGTTGGGTCAAAAAGGTGTTTTAATTCTAAGGCTTTTGGTGACTATTATCAAATTGCCCTCTGGAAATTTTATACCAGTTTAAACTCCCAAAAGCATCCTGTGAGTTTGCTTCTTTTCTTACACTATCACTTGGTTGTTAATATCCTTTAATATCTTTCCCAGTCTTACAGGTGAAAAACGATCTCTTTATTGTGTTAATTTGTATTTCTTTGATTGCTAATGAGATTGAACATCTTTTGTGTATTTTAGGTTATTTACATTTTTTAATTTGTGAGTTGTCTTTTATATCTCATAGGTCCTCTTTTATTGATTTATCTTATTTGTCTATGTTAATTCTGTCATATATATTGTGACTATTTTCTCATTTGATATTTGTCTGTGTTTACTAATTATTATAATAGAAATTTAAAATTAAAATTTTTTATTTCATCAAAACTGTCATACTTTTTATTCACAATTTCTGACCTTAGTTCTTTCCTTAGAAAAGCTTTTCCTATTCCCAGGCATAGATAAATATTTCTATTTCCTATGCATAGATAAATAATGGATAAATCTTGTCTTCGCTTTGAAAAGTGAGGATAATAAGGGGAGGGCAAAAGAGAATATAATGTTTTTGAACCTCAGGTGACTGAGGGAAAGTACCTTGTACAAAACTGTGAGAAGCAGAATTTGGCTGTGGAGTAGATGAGGAATTTGATCATGAAGATTCTGAGCTTGTGGTCCCAGCAGGACATCTATGTGATGATAATGATGATGATGATGATATATGTGTTTGTGTGTGTGTTTGTGTGTGAGAGAGAGACGGAGACACCAAGCATGAAAGAATAGATTAAACCCAGACTGAGTTAACTTTTATTAAGCATCTACTGTGTTCTATAGGCAACACTGCATTTTCCTGGATGGTTCATCAGCACTTGAAAGATTTTACTCTCTTCTTTAAAGAAATAAAGCAATAGCCCGCACCTCCGTGGAGTCTGAGAAATGATTCAGCAGCTTCTCCCTGGACCCCTCCCCTGCCCTGTTTCCTCCCCTCCTGCCCAGATCACACATCTCAGGTCCCTGATCACCCTCCTTCTACTTCCCATCTAAAGAGCACCACCCGCAGCAGGCAGAGAGCCCTGGAGGGGGAAGAAGTTTGGGGAAGAGGCTTCCACAGGACCTACACTCTCGTGCTATATCCTCTCCGCTTCTTCCAGGCTTCGTGCAAGTCCAAACATTGGCCAAGGAAAAGGTGCAGGAGAGAGTCAGATGCCCCCGACCATAGCCCCACCACACACCCTGGCCTCCATTCCACAGCTCACTCTTAATTGCTCTTTCATAGGCTGGGGTGAGGCCAGCAGAAGTTCAGAGCCATCACGGTCTTGGGGATGTGAATGCTGCCTTCCATGACTGTAGCTGTAAGGAGTAGAGG